AGAATAGCTGGGACTTGCTAAATAAAGTATTTCCAACAAATATGCATCAAGTTGCACTATTTTTATTTAAAGCTATTTTTTTACATTCACCCACCACAAATTCTTACACATTTTATAACTGTAAAAATAAATAATATGTTTATCAAAGTCAATGCATTTTAATTGCTTGGGGAGTTTTTTCTGCCTTATGAGTTATCACATTTAATTCAGTGAAAATGTTAAACAGAAAACTCACAGACTTTATATTAAAAGCATAAAAAAAATGAATATGTAACATCAGACACTTGCTTCAGCCCTACATGATGTCCTCTGGCTGCCATGTGCCTGCAGCAGCCAGGTGAGCTGGTTTACCTGTCCGGCTCCTCAAGCCACGAGCAGAACCGTGGCGAAGCTTCAGGACTCCGCTCCTCCTGTCAGCTCCCAGCACGGATATGTTTGTCCTTAAAGCGGTCCGTTTCTTCWTTTAAAACTGCGACATCTTGCAAGTTCACTCCGCAGTGAGCCGTCGGCCGCCTTCATTCACTCGACGAGTCCTGCTGCTGAATTCACCCAAAGCTTCGGTTTCTCTGCTCTCAGAGCTGGAAAATAAAGTTTTATTTTACTTTGAGAGTTAAATAAAAAAGTAGTTCTTCTCCGCTAAGACTGAAACGTTTCTGTCGTGGAGCTGCGTCCTACCCCTGCAGAGCCAACGGCTGTAATCAGATGCTGTTCGCCAGAAATCCACTCATCCTCTTAGAGTTTAACCCCTCACTGCCCGGCCCGCTGCTGCAGCTGGGCCCTTTGCTGCGTTCAGGTGCGCTCGGAAAATAAATTGCTTTCTGTCAAAGTGTGGTCGAAGTGGCGCTTACTGCTCCTGGAACCTGATTGATCACCCAGTTAATTGACTAGTCACTGTGACTGAAAGATGCGGGATTAGAGTAAATGAGGATGAGTGAAGCAGTCAAGTGGCTGTTGTCTGGCTGGGAGAGGAACCAGCAGTGGGAAGAAGAAATCGATAACTTCTCTAAACCACTGAAAGCAACACTTGTCCTGGATTAAAATCCATTTAATGGAAATATGGCGACATCTGGTGGCCAACTTTAAACATTGCACAGACATGGAACAACATTAAAATTAGAATAGAATTTAAAATATTACTCCTGACATACAAATTCGTATACATTTTATAACTGTGAAAATAAAGAATATGTTTATCAAAGTCAATGCATTTTTAATTGCTTGGGGGGAWTTTTTTCTGCCTCCTGCCTTATGGTCTGTGTGGGTGGGTGACCAATATTTGCATTTTGACTCCCACCACCCACTGGGACACAAGTTAGGAGTGATCAGGACTCTGTACCACAGAGCAGACAGTGTCCCTACAAACCCAGGAGCCAGGCAGAAAGAGAAATCACACACACGACAGGCCCTGGAGCAGTGTGGTTATCCTGACTGGGCTTTCCTGAAAGCAGACAGGAAACACAGACAGGATTCCATGCAACCTTCAGGTGAAAATGAAGACCCCAAACCCAGACCCAAACCAGTGGTTATTCCGTATGTTGCGGGTGTTTCGGAGAAACTGAGACGTTTATTTTCTAAACATGATGTCCCAGTGGCTTTCAAACCCCAAAACACATTCCTGCAAAGGCTGGTTCACCCCAAAGATCCGGTGCCCCGGCACAAACAGAGCAATGTTGTATATGCTGTTAAGTGCCAGGAGGACTGCGACCAGTTATACATCGGGGAAACAAAGCAACCACTGTTCAAAAGAATGTCCCAACACAGACAAGCTACATCTAATGGCCAGAACTCTGCAGTTTTCACTCATTTACAGGCCAGCGGTCACTCTTTCAGAGATGAGGATGTTCTCATTCTTGATAGAGAGGAACGTTGGTTTGAGAGAGGAGTAAAAGAAGCCATTTTTGTGAAGAAAGACCGTCCATCATTAAACAGAGGTGGAGGCCTCCGTTTTCAGTTGTCCCCCTCCTACAGCGCAGCTATTGCCAGTATCACTCCACCCCCTGTTAACAATAAGTTTTAATTAGGTGTGAACGATAGCCATGTGATGTGAGTATCAGTCACATGGAGGCAGGGCTTAAAAGCCTGAATTTTGCCTGAAACTCTCAGACTGAAGAAGTCTCTTGGAGGAGAGACGAAACGTTTCATTAGAGAAGAACCCGTCCAGAAGACCTATAAAAAAAAAWTTCTTTTTGATTTTTTACCTGGATTACTGAGATGCATCAGGACGTTAAACAGAAAACTCACAGACTTTATATTAAAAGCATCAAAAAATGGAATGTGCAACATCAGACACTTGCTTCAGCCCTACATGATGTCCTCTGGCTGACATGTGCCGCTGAAAGTGGCAATTTTAACATGCTGTACAATTTATTCCAAGATTACATGAAATTAAACAGCTCTTTAATGTTTTACTTGTTTGATCTTGTTCTGACTCATGTTTAAATAAAGTATAAAAAACAGATTCACTCGAATTTAAAAAAAATTCCTGGATCTGGATCGTGACCCGAATGATCACCAAAATTTAACAGCGTGTTCCTTTGACCAATACCCACCTGTGGTAAAAATTTCATGAAAATCTGTTTGTAAGTTTTTTTAATAATTTTGTCCACAGACAAACAGACGCGACCAAAAGCATTACTGCTCCCTTGGCCGAGGTAATTAGATTAAAATAAACACAAATTCTAACTATTCAACAAATTTAATTCATAATTATTAGTTTGGAAAAACATTATTATAGGTTACGAAAATTGTTCAAGTTAGGTGTCTTTGGTACAAGAAGCTAAATAATTTTCTTTGTGCCTCCCTGAAAAAGTCTAACTTTGCCACTGATGTCTGATGAAAATCAAGAAAATTCTTGGAAGCTTTGACTCCCCTCCCCATAAATAAATAAATAAAAATAAAATAAAATTTAAACACCTTCCTATCAGATTATGATGACCTAAAAAACAAAACAATGTAGAAACTTCCTTACTGAACTAGTTTTCCCCCAAGCTTTGATGGAGTGAAAAAGAAGTGTCAAATTTATTGGTGAATTTTCCTCAATTATTAAAAAAGCAATTTCCTGTGCTTGTAAGATAAATATTTTAAACTAAATTTTAATACATCTTACCCTTTCAGTTCATATTGACAAAAAATAAAAACACAACAAACTACAATAAATGCATTTTAATATACCATAATTATAAAACAAAATTCTCATTTTACACCTTTACAAAGCCCTCCAAATAGATGTAGTTTGTGGGGGAAACAAAGTTACTGTATTTTTTTCTGTGTTATAAAAGCTTAGAGATGTACAGTAAATTACACTAAATTCTTTTGTTCCAGTTGTATAAGTTGAGAGAAAAAAAAGTCAGTTATTTTGTGTGTACTTGAATTTTGAAACCAAAAATAGTTTTCAAAAATCTAATTTGTGCTGACAGAGTTCTGAAACTCTGCTCCAGCAGGTAAAACAGTTTTAAATATTAACATAAATAAAAATTCACCATATTTGAATTACACCACTGACTCAACAAAACCATCAACATATTATACAATTATATTACATACTTATAAAAAACCAAAATGTGTCCAAACATGTGTTATTAGGGACAAAGGTGCTTCCAGAATACTGCAGGTCGTTTCATTAACTCATCGACCTCACTTGCAGCTTGTTCCTCGCTCTGATCAGGAATGATGCATCGTTATGCTGCCCCCTAACAGCTGGGGGTGTATCAATATTAAAAGAAAGAAAATCGATACAAATATATTCTATATTTTTATAATACTTGAATTAACATTAATGAGACGTGTACCTGAACGCATCTCTGACCAATAAAATAACTGTTGCAAAGAAAGTTTATAAGTAAAATAAATCAAAACGTATTTTTTTAACTTCACAGCTTACTGTTTGAACTTATCTTGTTCCTGAGATTTTAAATCAAACAGCAGAAGTCGGTTTAATTCCTTCACAAACAGAGAAGACCTCAGAACAAAGAAAGACACTGCTTTTGCAAGTCAAGTTAATATTTTACATTCCTTAGTCTCTTTTCCTTTCACATCAAGTCAACAGAAGAAAAACTCTTTACAAATTTAATCTTTCCTAAACAAATAAAAAAATAAAAAAATAACTTCCTCCACAGTTGTGACGTCTTCATCCCAAATTAACAACAGTCCAAATTATATTCAGCAGGATTAAGGCGGTCCTCAGATTGCAGTCAGCAGCTCAGAGACTCAAAAGCCCAAAGTTGAAGATGAACCTGATCAGAAGTTGAGCCGAGTCGTCACCGCTCCTCCGCCAGCAGCGACCTGAAGTTCTTCAGCTCTCTGATGCTCGTGGAGATCCTAAGGAAGGGTTTATAAAAGACACAGTTCTCTCAGGTCACGTCCAACACAATAATGTGAAATATCCAGACTGAGCCACAGTACGAGTCAAAGACAGGGTCCGGTCTTCAGGCTCTCACCTGCCGAAGGCGTTGAGCAGGGAGACGATCTCCTGCCGGCTGAGCTGGAAACTGGGTTGCTGCTCGCTGGATTGGTTGGGCAGAGATTCAATCTGTCGCTCTGAAAACAGAATCTTCAGCGCCGTGCCTAATCCCTGAGTCTGATGAGCACAGAGATTCAGATTAAAGCAAAGAGACTGCAGGATTTCACATTAGCACAGCCAGCAGAAACAGTGCAGGGATGAAAACATTCAAGTTTTTAGAATTAACCATGATAATTATACCACCCTCTGATCAATCAGCTAAATTAAACTTTCTCATCTCTTAAAGTGTGACAGGAATCAAAAGACATTTAATCATCAAATGAGATTATAAAGTAGGGTCATTAATTAAACATATTTCAGGTTCGTGGATGAACTTTACGATCACAGATCTGTCAGAGAACATACCTGCAGCTTCCCCCAGAGGCGACACTTGAAGCAGCCGACACAGTCCATGATCCTGGAGATGTTGAGGAACGCCAGCCTGACGTCCTCCTGATGGTTTCAGCAGAAAACACACACACACACACACACACACACACACACACACACACACACACACACACACACACACACACACACACACACACACACACACACACACACACACACACACACACAAACACACACACACACACACACACACACACACACACACACACACACACACATCAAAACTAAGGTCCTATCAGTTCACTTGAGCTAATAAAACAAGACATAAAAACAATGAAAGAGAATCAAAATATGAATAAAACAGAAGAGATTTAAAGGGTGTCTTGTATGGACAGGTGCTGTTCAGATTAGCTCAAAGTTATTCTCAATCTGGTGTTTAAAGAAGAGTGTTCAAATCTTTCAGGGGGATCCTGTGGAAAGGTATGAACACTTAGTATCTTACCTGTTGCAGAGCTCACCTCTGGTCAAAGCAGAGCTCAGACCAAAGTGAACTGTTGCTGTTAATGCAAATATAGTCTCATTTACATGGTTAATCCAGTAGAAATATTATGATGGTTATGGTTATGGTATATGGGGATGGGTAAAACCCATGTGAGCGGAGGCCTCATAAGTGGGCCCATTACTCTCCCCAAAAGAGACACTGAGCTTTTAATCAAACCTTCGCGTCCCTCGAAAGACGGACACCAGTTTAGAAACACTCAGTGTTCTGAGCTTCTCGGGATCCATAAAAGGTTCTCCAAGAGTTCTTTCCCTTTGACCACTCAGGGCCAAGCACTGACCCAAGTAGTGCAAAGAGGTCTCTAATTCAAAGCCACTGGCATCACACAGACCATTTTCATGGAGTCCCATCACCATTTTATGACGGTTGAGCAGATTGTGCCCAGTTAGGACTCCAACCAAAGTACTTAGAGTTTTCCTCGTCAGGGCAAGAAGGGCTCTTCCAAACCAAGGATTTGGGCCGTTAATCAGTTCCCGTGCCTGTCTACAGTCCATCAGCTCCCTCCAGCGGATTGAGTGTTGACGTTTAATCCAGGCCTGTAGGCCAGTCCTACAGACTGTTGTTGAGATACCTACAACAGGCTCTGGTCCTTTGAAGTGAGCCTGACTWCCAGCTCTTGCAAGGTAGTCAGCTCTCTYGTTACCATARATGCCAGTATGTCCTGGTACCCTTTTAACAGTAACACTGTTATTTCTCCCCAGTTGGTTGACTGCTTCGGCACACTCCCAAGCCAGTAATGACGTAAAGTGTGGCCCTTGGAGAGCTCTAATAGCAGCTTGGCYATCTGTTAGGATGAATATTTCCTTCTGTGTACACTGAAGGTCTTTGAGAGATGCCACACACTGGTGGATTGCATATATCTCAGCTTGAGATACCTTTACAAAACCACCTAGTGGGTAACTATACTCTCTCTCACTATGGTTGTGCAGAATCAGCACTCCTGCACCTGCTGACCCCTTTAGAAGGGATCCATCTGGTTCAGCAACAGTCTGTGCTCAAAGAATGAGGTCAGCTGACTACCTGAATATACTGAATGACCAGGTTATTCCATCAATGATTGTTTCTTCCCTGATGGCACGGCCATATTCCAAGATGACAGTGCCAGGATTCATCTGGCTCTTATTGTGAAAGAGTGGTTCAGGGAGCATGAGACATCATTTTCACACATGGATTGGTTCCACAGAGTCCACTGAGACTCTTTGGGATGTGCTGGAGACAATCAGACCATCATCAATGCAAGTTGGTGATAAATTATTGCAACACTGGATGGAAATAAATCTTGACATATTGCAGAAGCTTATTTAAACCAGAGATTCTTAACCTGTGGGCCGCGGCCCAATTGTGGGCCGTGAACGCCACCCTGAGGGCCACAAAAGAACAACAGTTTTTAACTTTGGGCCACAGAGGGCCGCGGGACCGCATTGATTTTGAATAAGGTGCAATACACTTTCTTACCACTAGTAGCGGTAGTGCGCCACTCAGATGTTTAACAACTTTTTTAATATGTTGAAGAAGAACCTTGGAAACCGGCCGAGAATTGAAACCTATTTTCATTTAAATGTGGAAGGCAAAAATGAAGGTAACCCATCAAAAAACATCAAAGTTTGTCACTAATAAGAAGTGCAGCTTCTGTTTTTACCATGCAATATTTTAAAAGTTCAAAACATTATCAAATGCAGTTGCAGATACAACTATATTTTAATTTGCACTTTAAATTAAATGTGGTAGTTTATTATTAACCATTTTGAATGTGTTTTAATGACATTTTAAACTTGTCAAAAAGCTGTTGTTGTTTGTCAGTAATATGAAAAGTGCTTCTGGTTGCAAAAGTTTAAAAAGACTATATTTTCATTTGTACTTTATCAAATTTATTTTTGCATATTTTTTTATTTGAAACGTTTACATTAAACATTTTTAATTTACTTATTTTATGCCCACATTTTTTTTAATTGTCTATTTTTGTTATTGTTTATGTTAAAAATTGGTGGTCCAACGAATATCAGTGTGTGACCTTTTGTTTTTGGTGGCGACTTTTCTTTTGGCCAGGCAGTGTAATTAATGGTTAATAAAGTGGATTTTGCATGTGTCCTCTTTAAAGTAGATATGTCAACATTTCACAGTTCAATCTTTTTAAATGTTTGAATATGCATTTTCTTTAAGTTAACAGTGATTACAGCAAGATGTAATATTTACAAAAGGTTTTTATGTAGAAGAGTATACTGTGTACATTCCCTTAAAGTACACACTGCATTGTTCTCTAATGAATTGTTCAAGTTGTAAGAAGATTCTAACCTGCAGCATTCAGATTAAAGACTAACGGTGTAAATACCTTTCTATCCAACCAGGATCACAGTGCTTTACACTGACTCATTGACCCATTCACACTGCACTCTACTAAGTCCYAAACACTGTTATTTTATTATTTTTTATTTAAAAGGTGTAAAGATTTTCTCCTAAGCTGCAGGTTGACATGCTGACCTAAAATATTTTGGTTTCTTACCTTCAGTTTTGCCGCTTCCTTTTCATCTCCTGCAAACAAAGATGTCTCATCAAAATGCAACGGAAAAGATCTGAAAGAGCAAACAGAATGAGCAAGGTCAGAAAAACAAACACAAAACAGCTCCAGATTTATTTACTGGTTTCATAACAGAACAACAATAGAAGAGAATCAAATAATGGCTCATTTTATCAGTCTGTTTTCCACATTCACTGTGGTTTTGTTCAGGTTTGAAGTAATTTAATGTAGTGATGGACAAATAAACACTGCATAGATATGTCTTAGTATAGTTAAGTATAATGTGTATATTATTATTTTTCTGTATATTGTGTGTAAATTATATCTAAAGTATCTGTATACCGTCAATACTAGAGACACGAACAGCCGGAAACAATTCTTTGTGTGTCAACATACTTGGCCAATAAAGCTGATTCTGATTAAGTCTCATGAAGCGCTGAGGCTCTCCACCTCATAGACTTGAATAAAAACACTAGAATGAGCCCCACCCATACCGTCCACTGTAGTGTCTGTGACAGCATGGAGGAGCAGAAACAGACCAAACAGGGCAACAGCTCACAGCCTCCATAGACTAATAGATAAACAGCAGCTGAACTGGATCTGTTTCACAGATTATCCGTCATGTTTTTACAATAAATAAATAACTGTTAATTTAATTCAACAATCATGTAAAACAGCAGATACATACCAGAAAATTATATAATTTATAAATAACAATGATCTAAACCAGACCTGAAGTCAGCCTGTAACTTATGGTGCGTTCACACCGAACGCGATTTCAGCGTCAAAATCGCAGCCAACGCTGAAGTTTGAAGCTTGTGCACTTTGAGGTCAGACGCA